AACAGGAAGAATTACAGCAGTTATCTAAAAAAACAGTTGCACATCTGTATGTTAAGTTGGGTATGCTAACCAAGTATTCTATCTACCATATGATATGCTTTTTACTGTTCATTTAGGATTCTGAGAACTGTTTAACTGATTCCTTCTTTGGAGTCCAAAGCTGACTTCAGAGTAGATACGAGGTGCCTGCTCTGGAGCTAGGTTCACCTTGTTGCCTGAACTTCACAGAAGAGTTGTTTGAAAATCTGTTAGCTGCTGCTTTAAAAGAGACTTTTCCACTGTGACCTGTAGCAAGTTTCAGGTTTTCTTATTTGCTTCTGTAGGAAAAAGTTAAAACCAAATTACCTTCTTTTCACTGTACATGGGTGTACACAGTCGCTGCTTCCTGCCTCTAGCTCTGCAACATGGCCCTGATTGGTTTGACCCAGGTGGTGTTGGTGGGAATGCCCTCTGGTGGCTTCTGCAGCTGAGAGGGCTGCAGGATGTGCTGAGGAGTCGTGGGTAAGTCGCTGTGAAGATTGGTATGTCCAGAAAGGAAAATAAATTGTGTGGTTTTGCTGGTTGCTTTCTACTTCCTCTTTCTCTTTCTGGATTAAATCCTAGTCTTCCCCTTTAGAAAACGTTCTCATGAATTCAAACACCTGACAGTAAGTGGATATCTTATGTACCTCCAGATTCATAGCAACTTGCCATGGAGTTTTATAAAAGAATGTTTTGTTCCTGTATTTTCTTTCTAAACAAGTAGTAAGTGGAAGAGATGTGCTTGCTTGTGTCACCAGAGCCAGATTTTGGTTCATACATATGTGTTACTGTTTTTATGTTTTGGTGGGTGTGTGGGGGGTTGTTTTTATTGTTTTTGTCTTGATTTTTGTGAAAGTCATTTTTTTTTTTTAAGCAATGGAATCAGGACCTTTAAACTCATCCTCTGCTGTGTCTGCAGTTTGCAGCTGGGGTAACCTGAAAGGGAAATGCAGATGAGTGTGAAAACCAGAAACCTCTGAGAGCTGCAGAACACCATGGCTCCATTCCCTTCTTGGCGCCTCCGGTGGGTCTGAGTGGGGCTGGTGCCCAGTGGGATCCCTGGAGAGGGCCTTCCCAGCCCACATCCCACGACCCCCTTGCAATCTGCATGCTTCCAGGCTTATTTTTAACTGCTGATTTAACAGGCGCGTGGCAGATACAGCATACCCTGAGCAAAATGGCAGCCAGCAAGGGACAGTGACACCTCTCCCAAGATTCTGGCAGGATTTCAGCTGTCCAAGCAGTGTGTCGGCTGGCACTGGGTAACGGCTTGGTCTCAGAGCAGACATTGCCTGCTGCCACTTGAAATGTTCCCTTGTCTTGAAGCAGGGGTTAAGGACTTGACATGCCTTTGATGTAGTGAGGAATTTTATTTATAGCTTTTAATTTTTAGAGTGGAATTGAAGGGGAAAATCAGTATTGGGTAGAGGCTCCCTCTCCTTTGGTCTCCCAGTGTCTGCAGACCTGGCTGAGGTGGTGTAACTGGGCTGTGGCCTGCTGAGGGCTGCATGGGCAGCTTGCCAGAAGCCACAGAGCTTTACAGAATCCGTGCATACATGGCGCAGGATTTCAATTGGCGATAAGTATATGCAGGATGGGTTTTTTATAGGCTGCTGTAAGTATGTGCAGCACTTCTGAGCAAAAGGACGCAAAATATTCTTTGAGGCTTTGGGGAAAATTAGTGTCTACAGGAACAAAGTTTCATAGAGACAGGGTTTAAATTTTTAGTATTTGGCTTCTTTGTTTGAGAGGACCGTGCATGCTGTGAAATGTGTAACGCCTGATAATAGTCTGATTTTGTTGTTGTTTGCATTTATAATGGGGAAAGTCTATTAATAAAAGTAACTCTACTAAAGAGGCTTGCACAAGTACGTGCTTGCTAATGCAGGACTGAGTGTGGGGTCCTTTGGCAGGACTTTCTGCAGGCACTGGGCAAGCTGGTCCTGACCCACAGGACCAGGATCCAGACCTGAGCAGTCCCTGACTCAGCTCCTGCTGGTGCTTGCCTGCCAGGTCACCTCAGGTGGCTTCCCCTCTTCAGGGTGTGCAGCTCCCCTGCAGCTGTGGGGCAGGGGAAGGATGACAGCCTTTCTTCTGTTGGGCACTTAAATACATTTAACAAAAAATGTGGTGTAATTTCAGGTGTGTTACTCAATGAAGTCATAGTTGGGCTTGGTTGAAGAGGAATTCTGAAGAGTGTTGTGGATGGGGGATTAAGAATGACTTTTACTGTGGTTTTGTGGCTTTTTTTCCTTATTTGATCACTTTGGTGAGGACTGGTAAAAATCCCTCGTATTTGCTGAACTGCAGTTTGTCTCAACCCATACTGGTTTGGATGTGGGATGTGTGGAATCAGAGGATGGGGAGCTCATTTTATCAACTTGAGTGTTCCAATACTCCTTCATTGTAGCTGTGGAAGGCTGTTTGTCTCTTTAGGGGAATGCAGGTTGGATTTGCTTCCTCCTCCTTCCCGTGAAAAATGCAGGGCAGGGGTTTGTGAATAGATATAAAAACATCTTTTAGGGAATAGAAATAAATGGAAAAGAAAATAAATAGGCGTATACAACTGGTAGCGTTTTCCTGGTTTCCATGCTGTTGTCCGCTTCCTATATTTTAAATTCCTGCACTCAAGCCAGCTCATGTTTCTTGTGTTCAGCCTCCTTTCCTGACCGAACAGAACTGAACTCATTGCAGGTCCTTCCTGGCTTCAGCCAGTTTTAGGCAGGAAGAAAGGGTTGAAAAAGGGGCCGGGGTGGGGGGGACTTCAACATGGTGGGTGCTGGGAGGAGGGAGGGAGCTGGTGGAGGGGAGGCTGCAGTGTGTGCAGGTCTCTGAGCTGACCTGCAGTTTTGGAGGTGAAATGATGGCTCCCCACCAGCAGATAACAACCCCTGTTGTTTTTTAATTGAGCATGGAGGATGCAGCCAGGAATCTGTAAAAAAAACTTAGCAGCCACTCTGCGTGTGAGCCACATGCTGCTGTTTAACTCTTAACCTGCTCTGTTGTTAAAGTCATTTTTTGTCTCTTTTAAAGCTCTTTTCCCTTGTGCTCAGTGTCCCTCATGTCTGAAGGGCTCTCCAGGTAGACTGGCTGCCAGTTCCTGCCGGGCTCGCCATGCATTCCCCTCGGCCCAGCAGCCTCTAGGGCAGCTGGCTTGCCCAGCTCTGCTGCGGCTGCGGGCCGGCATCATTAAAATCAAAGTGTTCTGCCTCTGCTCTTTGAACCATTGATGTGCTGAAAGAAAGAGGGCATGTCTCATGAGCCACCTTTGTCTAGACTTGCAGAGAGTTACCTGGTGTAATGCTGAGGAAAATGCTGGTGTAAGCTGTTCAGCCCCAGGAAGCACACGTAGGGGCTGAGGAGGAAGGACAGCATCGCTGTCGGGTCCTGCAGCCACCCACCTTGGGAGCAACAGGCCCCTCTGAGCTGTTGTTTTAAACTTTTTGCACTGGATGGCTCAGTGATCATGCTGTGTGTAACTTCATCATGTTTCCAGCGTGACTGTTGAAGGTTAAATATTGGCATGTGTTAAGAATGCATTGATGTGCATCAGGAATGAGGAAGGCAAAGTCACTTGGTGAATGGATATTTGAATGGATATTTGAAACTGCTGGAGGTTGTGGTGAGCACTGCCTCATCCGTTCTCTAAGGACAGAAGTTGAGTACTTGCGTTCAGAAATTTTTGATCATTTTAACTGATGGTGAAGCAATTACCAAAATGTTTCTCATATTCTGCAAAACAAATCTGTGTCAGGAAACAAATGTAGTAAATGGCTTGGCTTTCATCACCCAGCACTTAATCAGTCAGCTAACGATCTGAAAAGGAAGCAACAGAAGATATCTGAAAGAAAAATGGCAATATAAAATTTAAGTTTCATCTGCTTCAGAAAAATTAAATCTGAAAAATGAAGACAAATACTTACATGTAAGAAGAATGGTAATGGCTCAGTGCCTTGGTCAAGGAGAGTCACTTTGCTGCTTTCAACTGAAATATTATGGCATGTTATTATCCAAAGAGTCTTGATAGGAACAAAGTAGCACAGGACTGACAAGCCTTTCTGAGTCATCCAGCCCTGCTTGTTGGGTTAAATCCCAGTAAAGATTTACTGTAGTTAATCTCTATTCCTTCGTATTGGTGATCAGTTAAATGCAGAGTTTAAGAAACTCTTAAAATCTTCTTTTCAGAAGCCTATTAAATAATTCTTACTTCACCACAAAAAAAAAAAAAACCTTTTCCTGTAAAGACCAAGTATCCTGAAAAAGATCTGAAATGCACAGGAGAATTCACTCCTTTATTTACTGTTTTAAAGGCAGCATGTTCTTCTTCTGCATATGTGCTGGAAACTGCATGTTTTCATGCAAGATGTAGTTACCTGTCTTCAACAGCAGGAACGTGAAGCTGGGCTGCTGAAAGGAAAATCCTTGGAAAAGCAGCTTAATCTGGGAAATTACTCTTCTGAGAATGGTGTCTTCCTTAAATACATCTTGATCTTGCCATCTAGCAATTGGTTCTGCTGATTAAAGTCGTTCTGAGTTCCCTGAGATATTTTCTGTTTTTCCCCTCAATGTCCAAATAACATGCAGTTTTACAGACTTTTCCAGATGACAATAATTTGGCTTTTTAATACCTTGTTGAAAGAATGTCTGTTCTATTTTACATACCTGTTTGGGACTGAGAGGGTTCTTGTTTTCATAGTAGCATGCTTCCAGATATGCAGTGTAGTTGCATGTGATGTTTCTGTGACCAAAAAAAACCCATAAAAATAAAGAAATTGCAGTAAATTTATGAACATTTTAAATGAAGGATATTGGGAAACGAGACAGCAAAAAAGAGACCAGTCAACCTTGGTTGCTCTGCATTTTGTATAATTTTGTATAAACTGACAAAAGGCATAGCTGAACACTGATTTTTGGGGTGGTTATGTTTTAAGACAGCAGTGCAGGTGTACACAGCTCTCATGTCTCTTCTCTTTCTGCAGCACTACAATGGTAGATGGAGTGATGATTCTTCCTGTGCTGATCATGATGGCCTTTCCCTCTCCAAGCTGGCAGGGTGAGTGATGTGTGTCGTGGTGCTGTGGAAGAGCTGGGTTTGAGCACTGGCTCAGCTGCTGGAGCTGCTGGACATGGCTTCATGGCACCCCACTTGCCTTGTTAGCTGACAGCATGGGCGGGCTCCTCTCAGGTACAAGAGATCTGCTTTTGCATTGAAAGGACATTTTTTGCCTGTTTCTGTATAAAAATTACAGCATGTGCAATTGGCATAGGTCTGTCCAGGGCTGGGGGTGGGTGGGGTGTGGAAAGCCTTACTTGAACACCAGATTATTCAGCTACGTAACAAGTAGATCTGTCTAGCCCATGGGCTGAGGTGCAGTTGTGTTGCATTATCATAAAGTGATTTTCTTTTTTTCTTTTTTTTTTTTTCTGTGGGAATGCTATTTGGCATATTTAGTGGGGTGTTCGATAACTTCTCCGTGATTGCTCTAGTAAGGTTTCTGGATATGGAAAACAACTACATCGTTAACTGTTTGCGCACTTATGTGCACATCAAGGTTTTATGACAATGTGTTAAGATTTGCCTCTGCAAAATGAGGAAAGGGTATTTCCACTGCCATGGAGAGGCAGGAATGGTTCATTTGAAGGTGGTTTGGATGTTCTAGGAGATGACCTCCTGAAAGACGCATAATTGCTACTTTGCAGGTGGCCTTCTTAAAAATGCTGAATAAAGATTTTTTGCAAGTAACTTGCTTTTCTTAGTTTTAAAATTTACATTACTCGAGGTGTATCTAGTGTTTGTTATGGCATATCTATTCTCTTATTTACCTTGTGAAATACCTATCAGAACTGCTCTGCTGAAATGCATTTATCTTCAAATGTTGGTGCAAATGATAAAAGGCAGAGTACTTTAAATATTACAATGGATGGTGGAAGGACAAGATTAAAAATGCATGGAGGTCTGGTGGTTGACTTCAGTCATGTCTATGAATAGGAAACAAAATTTAAAGAGGGAGGAACATTGGATTAGTGTTTGTCAGAATATGTTAAACTGTTAATATTATTGAGACAGCAGTATCTTGAAATAAAGTTTGGTAGCAGTTATCACAGTGTACCTTATCAACTCTTGAAGTGCAGCTATCTGCTTCTCAAACATTTGTTTTGGCTTTCAGAGTTGCTTATATATTAAAAATCTTAAATCACATGTCTTTACATCCTTAACTTGAAGAGCAGTAGATGGGGAAGAGAAACATGGGGAAAAGGTGCCTGTTAATGTCTGAAGTTCTGGTTAATTTCTCTTGTTCAATGTGTGGAATCAGATACTTGTGCTGCCCACGCAGTGCAGCACACAGGGCAGTATTGTCAACCTATCCAACCATACTAAAGGTACCTTGCAGGTGTTCATACCATAGTGATTTGACCTGACTCGGCTTAAGAATAGGAAAGTAGATTCTAGAGCTTCAGTGTTATCTTTCTCTTGAAAACATGCCAGTAAGTGATCAGCAAGAAAAGAGTAATGAAATCCATGCCAAGGTTTTGTTTTGCTGGGACTGTGAGCTAAGATTGGAGGTACAGGATCATTCCTTGCTGAGCTGCGAGGAAGGGTAGAGCTGGGCCAGATGTGGAGCTGGAACAGGCTTTGGATGGAGTTTGCATGGAGGGGTGGAGCATGTGAGTGGAGATGCACAGATGTCTTCTTGCTGCCTGTCTGCCTGTGCCAACTGGAGGTGTACAGAGTTTCCTGTTCGTGATGTGAGCTGCCATGCTTATCGAGTAGCACTTCCTGTAGATTTATGTATTTGGGGCTGTGTTTCTCTCTCACAGTGATACAGCTCCTGTGAAAGACAATCTTGCTTTGTTTTTCTTGCTTTATTCCCTCCCTTCTTCTCCCCCCATACTTCCTAGTTTTCTTTTTCTGTGAGCAGTTACTTGTCTAATGCATGTAAACAATACTGCTCTTCCCCCTTTTTGGGTTTGATAGTAGTAGTGCTGTTGTTTCCTTTTGGAAATAGTTTCCTAATTCTGAGCTGGTGGTTGAGCATTTGGGGGGGCAGAAATACTTAATGGACCCCTCAGCAAATTTTTATTTACATCTCTTCATCTAGGGTTTGGTTTCCTCACCAGGTGGGAGCAATGGGAGAACTCACTGCTTTGTTCCCTGAGTGTCTAAGTGCTGGTTGGTGCTTATGTGCCAGCAGCCTGTGTTAGGGCAAATGCGGTAAGCCCAGAGGTGCAAACCTGTGGAGAGGGTTGTCTATCAAGGGAGAGCATGCCTGTGGAGATCCTTTGAGGGAATGGAAGTTGATGCTCTGCTGCCTGTGAGCAGGCCATGGCGGTGGGGCTGGTGCACCCTGACCAGTGTGCTTTCCCATGTGCTTTTTCTGAATACTTTTGAAAGCTAATGTTTTGGGGCAGAGCACTGATTTGTCTTCCCTTTGCACAAAACAACAAGAAGTTACAAAACCTTCTGATCCCCCTCATGTCTTTCATAACAGATCAGTCCATTTACTTTCACTGTGATTTGGACCAGTTAGGTTATTTGTGAGTTTGGGGTTTTTTGGGAGGGTGTTAGGTTTGGGGTTTTGTGCGTTTTTGTGCATTTTTGATGAATGAAAAATGTCTGGGCATAGCTTTGGGTAACATTCAGAGGCAGATTTGACTAGTTCTATGTTGCTGCTAGGCTTCAGAGGATGGGATTAAACATGATCCATTTTTAAAATAAACAACCCACAGCCCAACCAAAAAACCCAAACAGTGTATAGAATTCCAAGTGCAGAAACATATTACTTCCCTACTTGAGTGTCCAGAAAATCCTTTTGTTCTAAAGGTTTACTGCAGTGCTTGCTTCTGTATTATTTCTTTATTAGCCCTGTAAAGTGGGGAAAAAGGCTTTTCATTTCCCGAGAAACTAAGCTCTAAGGCAGAGCACTTTCTAAATAATGCAATGCCTGTGCTTAGGCATGGGGTTTGTCACTTACTGGTAACTGTGCACAATGGAGTTTCCTAATCCCGATGGCCATGTCAGGAGCATGGTGCAGGAGATGCTGCTGCCCTCTCCAGTGATTGGGGGAAGGCATCTGGACCATGCTCTCCTCTTGCAGCTTGGCTTCCCTGCCAAATGCAGCCTCACTCTTGGGTATGAGGAGTAAGCAGTTTGAGAAGGGTCTCATGTCACACCACAGCCAGGAAGTGTTTGGGAGCTGCTGGAAGTCCAGAAGCTGCTGTGTGGCTGGTGGAAAGCTGGCTTTGGGAGCAGCCTCACTCTGTCACCGGCAGCTGGGCTTCAGGAGGATGTCCCTCTGCAGAGGTGGGCACCATCTGCCCAGCCTTGTAGCTTTATAACTGATGGTCAGTGGCCATAATACTTGTGCTTTTCCTGGTTTTAGGGGTTTTTGTAGGATGAAAAACAATAATAAGGCTAAACAGCTGTTTCTTAATGGTGGAAACCTCAAAGGCATTTGTTAAATTAGTAAATCCTATATAAAATCAATTATTATAGGGTGCCCAGAGAAGTGGTGGAGTTGCCATCCCTGCAGGTATTTAAAAGATGTGTAGATGTGACATGATTTAGGGACATGACATGAAAATGGTTTAGTGGTGGATTTGGCAGTGCAAGGGGGACTCGATGTTAAGAATCATTTTCAAACGTAAATGATTCTGTGATTATTATGGCTGTTGTGTAATGCTTGTTACTTTACACATAGAGAAAATAAAACTCTGAATTGAGCGGGCATCTCTACAAGCTTCTTATTTGCTGTTTCTCTGAAATGGCTAAGAATCATAAAGGGAAGCTATCCACTAGAAAAGAACTGAGTTACAGTTAAATGGACCCTGAAGGTACTGTAATTTTTTCAGGTCTGCTTTCCTTCATCTTCAGTTCATTGTGATATGAAGCCCTAGCAAATCCCATCTCTTCCCCCAATCCTAGTTATTGAAAAAGGGAGTTAATATTGCTGCTTTGACATATTTTGGCCTTTGAGCATGAAGTCCCTTTCATTCCACTAGAGATTTCAGCAGCTCTCTGAAATAAGGCTTCCTGGTGAACTGTAGCTTTCTGGTTTGATTTCAGGATTTTCCATTTGGGAAGTATGATCCCACTCAAAGCCTAGCAGCAAGCCTGCTAGGGGGGCAACAGCCATAGTACAACTCTGAGAGGTCTCGGGTTGGGAAGCTGGCTCACAGTGGTTCTGAGGACTGGGACTGGCTGTGTGTGCCCGAGGTTAGCTGATGACTGCAGTGTCTGTGCATGTTCACTATGTGACCAAGGAGGCACGGAGCCTTCCTGCTGCACAGCTGTGGGCTGGCCTGGAGGAGAGCAACCGGATGGAGCTTCTCTGCCCACTAGTTAGTGACTGAAGGTGTTGCTCCTTTTTGCTTTGCCTCACTCTTTCGTAAAGAAGAATAAATTATAAAGTCTTGTCTTGGTGAGCAAAAGGCTGGTTTGTTTAAGGGTCATTTACCTCTGTTCATCCTTGGCCACCTGGCTTTTTTTTCAGCCACACAGTAAGAGGTCTTGTGGTGCTGTGTAGGTTATCCTTCTGAACACTTGCAGGCATGAGCTAAATGTATATTGTATCTATGTAGTAGGGTATGCTAATCTTTATCTGCAAGGTAAAGTTTAGTACTGTGAAGAGCGGGAAGTTGGACTTGATGATCCTTATGGGTCCCTTCCAACTTGAGTTATTTTATGATTATGTGAAATTTTGAAAGGGAAGGTATGCGGGAGTGGTGCAGTGGTGTGATACTGTTAAAGCCCTACTTTAAAAGGTACTTGTCTTGTAATTAGAGACTGTGTCTTCAGTAAGAAAATCAAGACTCTAGTGATATGTGTTCTTAATTTTTTTATGCTTTTAAAAACTACTGCAGTGTTTGCTGACACACAAAATTAATGCACTGTCACACAGTTAACATAGGCCTTTTTCAAAGTCAGAGGTAAACTGTGTTGCTGTAATGCAAATAAGAAAATGAGGCTGAGTGCCTATTGTGATAGTTGTTCAATGGAAAATCACATAACTGTTGAGGTTGGAAGGGACCCCTTGAGATCATTTAGTCCAACCCTGCTGGTCAGAGAGTGCCAGCTGCAGCGGGTTACCCAGGACCAGGTCCAGTCAGGTTCTGCACATCCACATAAGGTGGAGAATTCACAAGCTCTCTAGGCAATTTATTTTAAAAGATATTTTTTTTTCTGTGTGTTCAGATGACGTTTCTTCTTAATTTGTGTCCCCTGACTAATCACTCTTCTGAATGTGAAAAGATCACCTCAAAATTCAGGCATGTTAATCAGAAATATATGTAGTGTATCATTGCTTCTTGGAGAGAAGTTTGGTATTTTCCCAAACAGTTAACAAAATTTACAGATTGGTAACTGGTTGGGTGACAAACTTCACACAGAAGTAACTGTGTTTCTTTGCACCTGTAGGTTTCCATCACTAACCAGTATTCTCGTGCCCTATGGGTTCTGGCTGGGGCTGTGTGGAGTGTCTTGGTTCTTGTTCTGTTGAAATACCTAGGTAATTAAAAGTCAGTGCTCATAGCTGTTGACTTTTACAAAGTGAATAAGCAAAAAAAAAAAAAAAAACCAAACCAGGAGACTCAATGTTGACACTTGTCAGTAACTGGTTTATTAGTTCATTATTATGAAAATTGATGCAAATATCTATCTTTGTGTGGTAAGTCAGATTTTTTGTGTGTTTGTGCACAAGGTATATATGCCACAAGTGCAGCAATGAGTTTCTGTATTATGAAAAAAAATACATGCAGCAAACATGTTTAGGTAATGGAAGTATTCTTAAGCTTGGCTTCCTGCCTGTGTTGTCTGGCTGCTGTGTATGTAGCTACCCTGACAGCCTTCCAATCCTGGAACTGTTATTGAGCAGGTGCTTACCTCTGAGCCTGTGTGTTGGGGGAGTTGTGTTTCAGACGTAACTTCTTGATTGTAACTGGCCAGTGGCATTTGCTGGTCTTGTCTGTCCTGCAGATTTGCTTGCTCATAAGAGCCATGGAGAAGTATCATCACCCAGTCCAGCTCTGCCTCTGCTGTGGATTTGCCTTATGCCAACAAAGCTATGCTCTGCAAGTGCAGCTGGCTTCACTTTGGGGAAATACGGCGCAAATATCCAGCCCTTCACAGCTGGGTTTGTGCACGGGAGAGTGCTTTGTTGATGCAGTACAGTGTTCAGCTTGTATGTGTTCACTGAAGCATTGCCCCGTCTGTCTGCTCTCAGGTGTCTGACCTCTGCTCTGTCTCAACTGATGGCTCACGGAGACGGGAGCAGGAGGGATATGGTCAGGGCTTTGGCTGGTTCTGCAGCCTGAATAAACCTTGCTGTTCATAAAGTCTTGCTGAATAAGCGGAGTGTGGCACTGTAGGAGCGTTAATAAGGGAAGGGCTGGCCAGTTCACGGTAATATACTGTTGAGTTGGAAAAACAACTAAATAAAGAAAGGAGCAGTTTGGGCATAAGAAGTAGTAACAGTCATCTGTGGGAATCTCTGTTTCCAATCCAGGAGTTCTTTACCGGAAATCTGTCATTTCTACATCTAATTGATCTGTATTGCCCCTTGGAAACATTGGGATCTGCAGCAGTTAACATATATAGTCAGTGTTGCTGTGTCTTCTTGGTCTATTAAGTAGATCCAGAGCCATTGTATCATGTTAGATCACTTGCCCTGACTTCAGTCTAGGACAGGCTTTCCAAAACACAGGTAATGTGTTTGGAGTTGCAGTGCCTTAGTTCATTGCTTGTAAGGGGTATCGAGTTTGCTGTGTGTGGACTGATCAACTGCCTTGTGGCTGTTCAGTTGCTTTCTGGTCTGTTTGGAGATTGCTCAGCTCCTCCAAGAGGTGGCACATGAGGGGAGGTGTTTCTGCTAGAAACTGTTCCTCTGGCTTGTGTGAGGTTTGCTCAACCTGAAAGGGACTTTGGGTCAAGAGGGAAGATTTAGGCTGGATCAGGCTGCAAAATAGATTAATTTTCCTTGTGGACTTGGTGTGGATCTCCAGTGGTAGCTTAGTTGTCCTTCATATAGCAGCTTGTTCTGCTGTCAGTTAATAGCTGAAATTGTGTTACTCCAGAATGTGAACTTCTTTAGGTCTGTCACACAGGCCAGTGTTTTGTCAGTGACAGTAGGAATGTTTCACTCACTGGGAGGTACCAAAATCCTGGGGAAGGCTGTCCTTTCTGAAGGCACAGTTCTTTGTGCTCTCAGGCAGTTGTGACCGTGCCTTGGGAGGAAATAGGGTCTTGGCGTTGAATGCCGGTGGCAGTTGCAGCCAGATGGACCAAGATTAAGGGCTTGTGTGTTACAATACCGGTTGTGTTTTATTGCTGCTGTTGTGGGAGGAGAAGGAACATATTTTATTATAGAAATGTTTGGCAGATTTTTTCCTTTAAGTTCTACAAAATTAGTGAAGTTACTGGTGCAGTGCATTCCAGTACTTGAAATCAATGTGACACTGTTTGATTTCAGGATCCTTTCCCCAATTTTGTTTTTGTTAGTAGTTTAAAAATGAAAATTTATATTTGTGTTTTTGTTCATTGTGGAAGAAGGGGAAGAAAACAAAGCAGGAGACAAGCTGACTTATATTCCCAGTGGGCAAACCCTAATGATAGGCTTGAAAAAGTCTAACATGTGATATGCTTAGTTCCTGTTTTAAGAGCATCCACTGTTTGTGTGGCTGGAAATTCTTCTTGTGTGTTAGAACGGAAAAGAAGAATGTAACTATAAGTTGCCATAAGTGTGTGTGTCCCACAGGATTTGTGTGTGTGTGACAGGACTTTTTCATTGCCTTAGCCTTCTGTGTGAGTGTGTGTGGCTGCTTACCACTGCAGGTACCTGCATTTTTGAGGAAACTGAAGAGCTCCCAGCATTCTCCATTAGCTTGCTGAGGGTGGTTCCTTCTCCTGCAGGAACTGGAGTGATCTAGTGCTGCATGTTTAAAGGCAGGTGCCGTTCCTGAAAGTGGCACAGGGAAAGCCGGTTTCTTCCAGCTAGCCATCTCGGCTAGCACTTTGCCGAGGATACTTAAAAATTTACTATCCTACCCTGTACATTCTGTTAAAAGTTTATCCTTTTACTTAGCTGAAGCTTCTGGCATTGGAAGGGAGATGGTGTACCTGCTGCTAGTATGTGCTGCTGCTTGCCTTTTTATCTCTATGGTTACTCAGACTTGCAAGATACTCCCCAAAGGCTTGCCTTCCTGGGAAAGTAGGGCCAGATTTATTTTTCAAGCAGGGTAGTTAGACCCACTAAATCCTGTGTAGGTATGTCCACTGCAAATCTAAATGGCCTTAATTTGATTAAGGTAATTGCCAAAGTGCTTGGGAATGTTTTTATGTGGAAATAGTTAATGTGGTTTAGCATATCTGTTTTAAATTTGTATTGTTTGTTAGGGATTTCTTTTCTGCTGAGCATAGCTGTGTAGATAACACTCTCATGTTGCATACCTGCAGTAGCATATGTGAGAAAGTTCATGTAAAATGTCACTACACTCTAGAATTTGAGTGCTTGGAGTGGGCAGATAGCACTGGTATTTGGTGCAAGCTCTTATCTTTACCCTGCTGCAATGGCTAAATCAGTGTTGTTAGCTCCTACTTGGTGGTTCTTCAACGCTTAGCTGCAAGTAATATTTCTTCCCTTAAACAGAGGGGTTTATTGTCTAATGATTTCATTATCTCTATGTAACCGAAGCTATTAAGAATACAATAGTGTGTTTTCCTCAACTCTTCCCTTTTACAGATGAACCCTATGAATGTGTGTGTGAAGGCATGTCCTGTGGGAATGGAGATCGATGCCAAGGGCAGCAATGTTTTGCTTCCCTGAGCATTAATGATGGTGCTAAGGTTTACCAGAAAGGCTGCTTCCAAGTCTATGAACAAGGGAAAATGACGTGCAAAACACCACCATCTCCTGACCAAGCTGTGGAGTGCTGCCAAGGATACCTGTGCAACATGAATATCACTGCACAGTTGCCTTCTTCTAAAGGTGAGAGGCTTATTAATAGTGAATTTTGAGAAAGAAAAGAAGTTTTGCTTTTGTGTGATGTGAGCGAGATAGTTTCAGCACTAGCCAAAGGCAGGCTTTAATCAATACAGTAAGGCCCTTTCAACTTTGTTCCCCAGCCTGGGGTCCACTGGCACATGTCTGATGTCCACATGTTGCATGATCTGTATGGCTGGATGAATGACAGCGGTTAGAGTGTGCAGTCAGGGTTGAGTTACTGCCTGTGAGTGTTCTGAAGCATCTGGGTTGTTCTGACTGCTCTGCAGTCAGGAAGTCATGGTAGTAGTCTCTGTAAGTGCACACTTGTAGCCCTGGCTGCTTCATGGCCTCTCTTTCAGACTAGATGGCTACCAAGTTAAATGTTGGTGTCAGTGCTACTGCTTTTAAAGACTTTCTCTGGAAATATGTATTTTTTTTTTTCCTCACTTACCCTCACCTACTGCCCTTTTCCCCTTCTCTCTCTTTCCAAGGGCAAACTTTTCAAGGTGAAGCTGCAGGTTACAGCATGGAAACACTAATCATCGTTATACTGGCTCCTGTGATAGTGTTGATAGTTTTTTCGGCAGTAGCTGTGCTGGTCTTCCGGAGAATACAGAAAAACCATATGGAGAGGCTCAATTCTAGGGATGCAGAATATGGCACAATTGAGGGACTCATTGCATCAAATGTTGGAGACAGCACATTAGCAGTAAGTAACCTGTGTGCATGTGAAAATTCATGTGAGCTTTCTTCACTTCTCAACTCCCCTCTAGTACCCTCCAGATACAGCCCTGTCAATAACAGGACCTTTTGCTGCCAGGGATGTCACTTAGGACCAGGACTTCTGTGGTGACATTCCTGTGCTCGTGAAGGCATAGTTTAAATGAAATTTATTCAAAGATAGCTTTTGCAAATAGAGCTCCTTTGACTTGCAGAATTGCTATAAACTGTAGTCAAACTGTTTGTAGAAACAATGTCTAAATGGCTAAAGAAAAATGGTCCAAACCCCAAATATTTTTATATTACTAAATAAATCATCTGGGTATTTTCTTTCTGTGTTTTGGACTGTGTTTTTCTCCATAGGAGGAAGAAACTGAAACAGATATTTCTTTAAGTGTAGAATTGCCTTCAGTATCTTCCTTAGAAGAAAGTGTTGGTTACCATCAACTAGGGAAGCAATTTTGACTATGTCCAAAAAGTATTCCAGAAAATGGTTGCACCTCATTGCCTGAAAGTTGACAACTACTTTGCAGGCCCAGCTATGGGAATTTATTAAAAGAAAGACCCATGGGACTGCTCAAGAAAATGAAGTATTTTAGGCAGCTTGGAAACTTTCTTGCATCTTTGTGTTTTGAGGCAGTGATGCTTCTGTAAAATACTGCTGTGAATAAGTGCTGCAGGGGTCACATGGAAAAGCCTTTCATTCACAAGACAGTATGTCCTGACAAGTAAGTTTTCAGGGTTTGAGATGGCTGGTAAGGGATACTGCTGAGGCAGGGAAGATTCCTTTTTTAAGGAGGAATAAGTTAAAACTGAGTAATCAGACTTATGGTGATCTGGATTCCCCAGTACGCATTTTTGAAACAGCCTGTGTAGGGAACAAGTAAACCAGTTCTTCAGTCAGGAAGAAGAGCTTGGTTATCTTAAGGAGGTATGGGGTATGATGAAGATGCACTGTGTGGCAAGGGATAGGAGAGGATGGATAGGAATCAGCTTGTTTGCCTTCTTCAGTATGGTAACGGGAAGGCATCAAAATTAGTGTGCAAGAGCAGGGATAAATATAGGGAAGGTGGTGCTTAACACAGAGGTAATTCAGCCAGTGGAATTCTTGCCTGATGATTTTTCAAGGTACTATAGGTTTGTATACATTCAAAGAGCAACAGGATGAAAAGACTATGCTAAACACATTAAAGAAAAGTCCAGCTAAGGAAGTTCCTGAGCTCAGTGTGCTTGGAGACTGGGAGAGCGTTAGATGAAAGTATCCTGTGTGTGAAAGTATTCCTATATTTGCTTCTAATTCACTCCACCTTTAGTATCCCAATAGTGTAATACCCTAATGCCCTTATATAGTTCCATTTATCTAATATTCCTATGTCTAGTACTCCAGTTTGCTCCACTGGTAATATGCTAATGAAAGGCATGGGATTTGGGTGTAGTCAGAGACAAGATACTGATCTAGAGGGACTTCAGGGTGGCAATTCTGGTAAGAGTTTTGGCTTCTAAATGGTTGCTTCCTTAGTAAGATAGAGCAAGGGAAATTGCCTTCCTCTGAGCTTAATGTGTCCAGCCGCTTCATGGGACTGCAGGATCAGCTGTGGTACAAACTGCAGCAGCTGTCTATTGCTGCCCTGCTAGATTGCTTCAGCTTGGGCCTCTATAAACTATACTTGTTAATCTTTTTTTGAATGCCTTTGGGTTTCTTCAATTAACCCAGAAGGCCTGGTTCTGTGTTACTGTTCAAAACCAGCCAGTTTTGATGTGTTCACCATGAATTAGGCATGTGTGCAATTGTTTATCTGTCTTTAAGCACTGGCTTCCAGCTCTTATCTCTTATCAGTGCAAGACCATTTCCATTCCATTTGTGAACATTTTGCACATCCAGTCATTTAATGTTACTTGGAAACAGTGATAAAACCTGAGAAGAATAAATCAAAATTTCTTCTAAAAAGAAAGTGGAGAAGTTGCTAACTGTAAAGGCTTGGTCTGCTGGTTTGTGTAAGACGCTCTTAGTTTTATGATCAGTATGCCTCTGGTGTAGCTCTTGAGTGCTGATGATGTGAGAGAAAAAAAAAAGATAGTTTCTTGTTTCTAAAAGTTAATCTAAACAGTAAGTAGTCTTTAAATTCCCGATTTTTCTTTTCCATTGTGTGGTTTAAATTGCTGGGTTTGTTACACGTTAGATAGGTTTACATTTAGGATTAGTCTCCATGGTGTAGCAAATGCTTAAATCACCAGGCTTCCTAATGGGGACTGGAAAGGGCTGTGGCCTCTTTAAATCTTGTTTTTACAGTCATTGCAGATAAGTTTATGGTGGAGTGGTTTGTTGTTTTTTTTTTTTTTTTGCCTCTCATACAAGCAGGAAGGAAAATTAGCTTTCAGTTTGTATTAAAAAGCAAAATAGCAGTCTCCTGGCCTTCTTAGATTATCGTTTTCTTGAGCACTCATTAAAAAATTGTTAGAAGAAAGATTTCATCTGGTTAAAGCCCAGTTGTACAGTTTGCTGGAAATACTAGGAAGTTGATTATGCTTATGCATTTTTTTATCCCATTTTCCTTTGTAAAACAGAAAAACCCTCCAGTAAGATGGTAGTTAATGCTTTGAAAGTAGTGTGTAAGTCCCAGCTATGAAAGCAGCTGGGTATTAGTACTTTAAAAGGCTAAGAGGATCTTAACATTCAATTAGAATCTCAGTTTGGGGTTTTTATTTTTTGTTTGTTTGTTTTGTTGTTGTTTTTTTTTTTTTAATAAGCTTACAGTTTGAAATCTGGTTTCCTTGCACTAAACATACCATAAACAGATAAAAACTTTCAAGGAAGACTTGTTACCGCAAATCTTGTGGAGTATAAATGACATTTAATGTAGGTGATACAGGTGTATCTCCTATCGCCTTGTCCATTTCCAAACCATTTTCCGTTATAAATAACTGTACCAAACTTGAATAGCTTAGGCCAAAACTTCCCATGACTTACCTACCACAGAATGGCTTTTTTGTTTTCTTTTCCTGAGGGACTGTGCATCTAGCACAATTCAGCCACCAGAGGGGAGGAGGCTTATGACAAATTATTTGGGTGTTGTCTTTTAAAGAAGTTCTGATTTGTAGCAGAGACTTGAGATTTATCAGAGAACCCCCTGGGTGCCAGACATGCTTGTGGCCGTTTCTCTCGGGGATCTCAGTCTTCAGGCACTTCAGAGGCTTGTGGTTTAAAATGTCTGTTGATAGGCACGTGAGTCTGTTCCCCCATGGATGCTGCATGGAGCTCTCCATGGAGTCAGGGCACAATTCCTCCCCATGCCAAGGCTGAAGGAGAACTTGTAGTTGGGGAGTAACAGTTTTCTATCATCTCAATTTTCTGTGAAATGCATGTGAAATGACTGTAATCAAAGCATGCATCTCTCTTCCCCTCTCTGGGGGTGTAGCTTCTGTAGCTACCGCTTTTTGCCATACTGCAGAGGACCCTGCGTCTGCAAATCTTAACCTGGCAGATTGCCTCCGTAACAGTGAAGTTAGGGAAGGAAACTTATAATAAACTGAGCATTGTCTTTTAAAGAAGTCTTGTGTGCAGGCCACACAATCTGGATTAAAAAGGTGCTGAAAAAGCAAGTTGTATTGCAGGAATATGTTGGCTTTGTTTTACTGTTTGAGTTAAAAACTTGCAGCAGTGGCTGTTTCAAGAGTCTGTTTATAGTAATTAAAGTTCAGTTCTGAATGTCTCTTTCTAATACATGTTTATTCATAAGGATTTGTAAAATAGATCTTGAGAGTGTTCTACACCACAGTTTGGTGGGGCTGGAACATGACCTTAGCTCTAATTAGTGAAAACACATTTATGTTGCTGTGTCCTCCTAGTCTTCTTTTGTAGGAGGAAACTGCAGGTGGCTGGAAGAATGGAAAAAAAGTCTGAGGGAATGTTCAAATGCAGCTGTGGTTTTTCTTCCTGCTAACTGTATAGGGATGAAGGTTTTGGACATACAAGTCAGAGAAAACAAGTTTGTTTATTTTTGAGGTGGCTCAGATTTTTCCTGTAGTTTTCTGTCTTGCAATAAAATGTTGTTACTAAGCTATTTGAAATAGGTGACGTACAGGCCTGGGAGAGCATAAGCAAAGTGCGAGAGCAAAATGCTGGAACAGGGAGGAATTTCACCACAGAGGATAGCTGATTGGTTGTGAGTGAGCTTCCAGGTTCACAGACAGTAATTTTATTGTAATTTATTTAACAGAATTATTTAGCAAATGAAATGATACTGCAATGCCAAATATAAGATAGAGACAGAATATGAAATCTGAGAATGCTTGATTTGTTTTCTGGTCCTTGATTTGTTGTGCTGTTTATAAAACTTCCAAGAGGAAGTGATGATGCTGAAGTTACCATTCCCTTACCAGCCTCATCTAGGCATGGGATGTTCTCTGAAGTGGTAAGATCTTGTGAAGAGCATTTTCTGTCCATCTGTATGATGATGAAAACAGCATGTCTTGACTCTTGATTGACCAAAGGGCATGCCAGAGCCATTGAGATACCAATGGGCTTCAACTTAACCTGTCCTGTGGTGTACTTTTGTGTATTTAAATGGGGTGTGTGTGTGGGGGAGCTACAGTTTCTCATAGGTTGTAATCTTCTGCTTTTCCTTTTGAACAGGATTTGTTGGATCATTCCTGCACATCTGGAAGTGGTTCTGGACTTCCTTTCTTGGTGCAAAGAACGGTGGCTCGCCAGATCACACTCGTAGAGTGTGTAGGTGAGTACAGTTCTTGTTTGCATTTATTGCCCGGTCTTGGCAACAATGCAAAGAGAAGACTATCTCCTTCCTGATCAACTGTTTTTCCTCAGTTGCTTATATAATATACAGAACTTCAGGCATCAGCTGATGGAACATATTTGGTTTTAGAAAGTGAAGTGAAAAAATTCATCTCAGATCTATGCAAAAGAAAGGTTCAAATGTCATCTGTGCTTTACAATTGAAAAATTTAAGTTTTGTTTAGTAAAGCAATTTTAAGAAATACAAATTAGGCTTGTTTGGGTACTTTGTAAACTAAATGAAAAAGCAGGCTCAATTTGAAGTTTGAAACTGTCAAACTGTGAAACAGACATGTTCATTAACTAGTGTTCAGTTAGATTTAGAGTTAGAAAAGGATCACCTTGATTAGAGATCTGGATTTGAAGCATCAAGCTGATGTGGAATTTTAAAACAAAAAAACCCACATCGACACCACCAACCACCCCACCACCTAAACCCCCCCCTCCCCAAAAAAAAAACCAAACACCCAAAACCCAACCAAACAAAAATCCCACAACTGATTTTGTGCAATTGGAATGGAAACATACAGTTCCCTTGGTCTGTAGTGTTACTTTGGGGCACCTTGCAGGCAAGGATATACTGTTGCTGCTCTTTTGCCCCTTAAAGAGAAAATATTTCTGGTAATTCTGCCCTAAAACTCTTCTCAGTCTTTCATTTTTTTGCAGGACTTTTAGTGTTAATTTTAAGGATTCATTAGATTTTTCTTCAGCATATATATATTATTAATTAAATAATGTTAAATTTGAGTATAGTCATTTTAGGAAGCATTTGGGTCAAAGTTGTACTGGGGCGGTGACATTGAGATGAGGTGCTGTACTGGAACTTAAGAGGTGAGGAAAGTTTGATAATGATTCATCCTAGTAAGAAAACCAGCCTGTTTATAAATATATTTTATGCTGCTGCTTCAGTGATTTGAACTTGGAACGAGTTAACACCTTCCTGTAAGTTACTAGAAGTTTTAATTCATCAGGGTGTTAAATCCAGCCTGGCTAAACCAGATTAATGTGAGTCTGTAGGACTGGGCCTGCACTTAACCAGTTTCTTTGCTTTTGGCTTATAGTAAGTTTTGAGTAGGTAAAAATGTTCACGCTTGCGTTAAATCCAAATGTACATCCTCTGCAGTTTCTTTTCATCAAAAACTGTGGAACGTGGTATGCATGATGATTTCACCTGCAATAGAGACATCTTTTTGTGCATGTATATGCGTGTGAATCAGTGTGAGTCCCTGGAGTTGTGCCTGCTCCCAAGTTAACCCAGGCTAGCACTGTTCCCAGAGACCATGTGTTTGAGCCTGTATAGCAGACTAGATGAAAGCACTTACACAGGAAGTATCTTCTGGGTGGTAGCATTGAGACATCAGTGTTGGGCATCTTTCCCCACTTGATTGTACCTGCAGCTTATTCATACTACATGCCTCTGAAGAACACCGAATGGCAGAGTAGTGAAAGGGCAGAACTCTTATTGTTCTTATTGTTGTCCAGTCTAGCACAACTTGTTGCACAAAGCCTGAGGCTGGTGTGCTCTGGCTGTGATGAAAATGTCAATGACCAGAACTTTTCTGGTGTGCCTTGTCCAGGACATTACTTTGCTGTTGGGTACTTGATAATTTCATGCATTTCTTCTAAGCTGTTTGGGTAAAAAGCCTGGCATGCAAGCCAGTGTGTCCCGATCTCCACAAAACAGAGGTGGGTGGGGGTTTTTTGTGTGTGTCACTTGTGGTTTCTTGTTTGGGTTTTGTTTATGGGTGTTTTGGTTTTGTGTGTGGTTTTGTTTTGGGGGTTTGGTTTTTTTTATCCCTTTATCATTTTTGGGTTTTGGCTTTTTTTTTGTTTTGTGGAGGTTTTTTGGGTGGTGGTTGGGGTTTTTAGTTTGATTTGTTTGTTTGTATTTTGTCTTTTAAAATCTTTATTCACATCAGCCTTGTATGCTGCCTAAGTTTCTTAAGCTGCAGAGGCAGTTCCATTGCAGGTAGCTGAATGATTACACCTGTCCAGTACAAACCCTGTGGGTACTGTTCCAGCATGAAAGGAGCAGAGGTCCATACTCGGAGCTTGCAATTGAAACAAACAGGAAAAATTAAGGGACAGTGGAGCACAGCCTGACTGTAGAGTGGTATGCAGGGGTGATCCAGCTACATCAGTGTGATATTTGGGCCATAACTGTTATTTCCATTCTATTAGCTAACCCTGTCCTAACGTTTTGAAGATTGTTAGTTGACAACTTTTACTGTGATTTTCCCCACCAGGTAAGGGCCGTTATGGAGAAGTTTGGAGGGGTCAGTGGCAAGGAGAAAATGTTGCTGTGAAGATCTTCTCTTCTAGGGATGAAAAATCCTGGTTCAGGGAAACTGAATTGTACAACACTGTATTGCTGCGGCATGAAAATATTTTAGGTAAGTAGAACAACCATATTCATGTGTCATGGTGTAAAGGTGAGTTAACTGAGCAGTTTGCTTGCAAAGTGCTGCTCTTTTGCCAGGTATCATGTAAAGGATGGAGGTGCTGCAGACCTGTGTGCTAGGAATTCACCCTTGCAGCTGCTCTGCAGGACAGCCAAATGACAAAAGTGTTTTGCACAGTGTGTTAGGTGTAGAAGATGTAGTGATCTGTGAGTTCTTCTAACTTCACCTTACCTGGAAGAAATGAAGGGAGAAAAAGTGGAGAGGACTTTACAGTGAGATTTAAATGTTAGAATACTTTTCCTTGTGCCTGAATAAATTGCAGTATGAATCTGTTACTTTCCTCTGTTTAATTGTTCTGCTCAGGGTCCCTTGGTGTTCAGATTTCAACTGGAATTGACCCTTTATGATGTATCTCATTTCCCTGTAATACAGAAGTTCAATGATTTTGAATCTTCTGCATCCCTTGTACCTTGTGTGCTCTGTTCTAAAAGCTTAGCAAATGGCTTTTTTGTATTGTGAGCCGTGGCTGAAGTCTAAGCAGCCCTTCTGATTCCTAGCAGGCATGACCTTTCACTGGTGTGCCACCATTACAAATAAAAGCAGCAGCATGTTTTCTGAGTGCTGACATTACCTCACCCACAATCTATCTGTCTTCAATCAGTTTTACTTGGGCTACTTATTCTTGTTTCCTGTCAGAGAATATTCCTTGGCTCTATAGCTCACCCTGCCTAGACATTTGTCTAATGTTTCCTGAAGCAGTTCCTTTGTTACTACAGAAATAATTTGGTGGCCTCTTGAAATGTGAATTATTGAACTTTAATTCCAGAGAGAGAAAGTAACATGGCTGAAATTACATTACACGTTTCCCATGTTCCTCTGTCTGTGTTTAGTCTTTCTTGATAACTGTCAGATTTGTCAGCTGTTTTATAGAATTTTGTAGATGCAGTATTAAACAATATCACAGATTACAGAAGTGTCACATTGTTGAAGTAATCTGACATCAGGAGAGAAAGTAGTGGGCGTTCTTTCTGACAAATGTCGTATGTGGGCTTTTAATAAACATGATTTGTTCCTCTAACTTGGGAACAAAACTTTTGTTGCTTCCCAGTTAAAGCTGTGGAGGTCAATTCAGCCTCAGCCTGTTGAGGTTGAATTTACTGTGCAACGGAAAGGGAGGTACTCTTGAATTTTGGGTTCGGTTTTAAGACAACACTTTCTTGAAAGCCGCTTCTGAGGTTCATGAGTTACATAGAGAAATTTTTGTTTCTTTGTAGAAAATCGTGAATTACAGCTACTGTGCTTAAAGTGCTCTGCCTTATTTTACCATGGAAGTCAGTTGCACATCAGTTGAACTGTCTAGTATTTGAAGTGAATAACTGCTCTGCTTTGGTTTTTTTGCTATGCTGATCTTCTGGGGCTGTCCTTTGCCATTTGCCACTTTTTATATCCTGTGGCTCCCACGTGAGCTGGTGAAAGGCTAAGGTGATCGGACGTTCGGAGCCCACAGTGGTTTAGAGCAGTCCTATGAGTCTGATTTATTAGGCTGCAGCATTGTCTCTGCAGCCTTTTAAGCAATTGGAGATCGTTGGAGAGCAAGTTGTTGCTCTGGTGGGATATGCTTTCTTCAACCTGTATTTGATCAGAAGGGTGTGACGTGCCATGCGGGGACAGCAAGCTTGTGACATGTTGAGGTCAGTTGTTGAAAGTGCTGAGTAGGCTTACCTTGGCTGTGAATGTGAAGCTGGCACAGCATATGGTGTCTGTTTATTGGGATATGATGTGCATTTAACCTTTTTCTCAGCAGCCTGCACTTGTCCTTAAAAATGGAAATAATTTCTTACATTTCTTATGACTTGCCTGTTTGAGGTATTGCTCTTTCCTGTTGAGTGGACAGCAGCAGATGTGCTACAGCCTGGTGCTCTTTTTTGTTTAACTGGAAACTTCCCTACCCCCAAGTCCTTAAAAAGAACATTCTTGTGAACAGACTTGAGTTAGAGTTCCAGAATACATCGGCTCTTTTTTCATCATGGTAATACCTGCAGTCTGTTTTCAGTGCAGTTGTGGAAGAGTTTTAAATAAACAGTTTTAAATTGCAAGAGGGGCCTAGTAACCTTGATTCTTTTCTTGAAGGAGTCTTGAAGGAGCTCTGACATTTTATTTTGTTGTTTTTCCTTTTTTCTTCCTCTCTGTAGGTTTCATTGCATCCGATATGACTTCCAGAAACTCTAGTACCCAGTTGTGGCTAATTACCCACTACCATGAAATGGGGTCTCTGTATGACTACCTGCAGCTCACTACCCTGGACACTGTCAGCTGCCTGCGTATAGTACTGTCCATAGCTAGTGGTCTTGCACATTTGCACATAGAGATATTTGGAACCCAGGGGAAGCCTGCCATTTCTCACCGGGACTTGAAGAGCAAAAATATCCTCGTTAAGAAAAATGGACAGTGCTGCATAGCAGATTTAGGTGAGTTCATTTAGATGCTAATATACTCAGTGCATTCCTTCAGGAATCAGATACATTGGATAACTCCCAACTGCCAAAGTCTTAAAGTAAACCTTAATGTAACCTTTCCATGATGTGGGGTTACTCTGAAGGTTTATGACAGCCACTAGATGGCACTTACAGCTTGGAAATCCTGCTCCATAGCTGAGGAGCCCTAGCATAACTTCCGCGTTTGGGAGCAGAGCTGGTATTTTCTTGGGTTTTTGATCGTAAATTCCATTCACAGATCCCAGAGTGTAGCAATTACTAGGCTGCAGCTCATTTCTGAATTAATAAAGGTCCTTCCACCTGCAGTCTCAGAACAGTGCGCTCACTGTCCCAAGCTCTCTGGGTCCATACAGCTTGCTTGAGTCTTTCACCAGATAATTCAGCAAGCCCAAAATAGGGTTCTTCATGACCAAGTTTTAGGCTTTAAGGTGGTAGAATGCTGAGAACCAGTCTGCAGTTGCAGAGAGAAAGTGAAAAATAGTATTGGAGAGTCATTGACTAGGCAAAAAGTATATTGGGGGATGGAAGTTTTTTCCAGTAATTCTGCTGCACAGTTCTTATCACTTTTGCCTGATGGACATGAGAGAGACACAGGGAATGCATGAAAGCCACACACCTGGGCCAATCTAAATTTGCAGGGGAAATGGTAAAAAATGAAAATATAAAACTTCAGAGGTTGGCTTTTAAGTAAATATGTAGCTCACACTGAGGAGAGGCAGCATACACTGGTATTGATTAACATCACGCTATAAAGTGAAATCTGCATTATTTATCTAGAGGCTTCAGATAGTTGAGAGATTTTCTGGGAGCAGCAATAAATATTTCTTAGGTTTTTGTGGTGGTGCAATAGCTTTTTATAATTTGAAATCCTTAGGCATGTATCTGACATGTTTGTTCCTTATCTGTAAAGGAGAGTTACCAAAGATTTTGTTGCCTTCTGGCATATATTTATGCTGTCTTTTCTTTGCTGTATAGCTTTGTGGGGTTTTTTGTGTTGTTTTTTTGTTTGTTTGTTTGTTTTTTAACTTGCCTCCTCTGTTTCAACACATGCAAGATACAAGAAAAATGGCACTTAGAAACTGATTAAGTATAAGCAGAAGGAAAGATTCACTAACTGCCCAGACATGAGCTGGGCTTGGGTTCTGTGGGTCATACCAGGTTCTGGACTTGCAGTGTACCTGTTAAAAATAGATGTCAGTTCTCAAAGCAGAGAGGAAAAAAAATTGCTTTGATGTGATCTTATCTGGTTTGCTGGCAGCCTGGGTGTTTGTTGCCATTCAGTCCTAGTCCTAATGGCTGGCAGTAAGTGCGAGAGCTTTATGAATTGGCCGTTCATCATTCACCAGGCATCGTGGAAACCAGTATCTTGACCGGCAACCCGAGTATCTGGAGTCGCAGTTACAAAATTGGCTGTTTCAGATGTGTTCTAGCTAAGCAGAAACTGTGTGATAAAGTCCAAGGATGGATGTTAATCTTGCCTCAGTCTGTCAGCACTGTGGAGAAGTTCTGCTCTCCTAAAGCAATTTGCATGCATGGTGATAGGTCTTAGTTGGGCAACCTTATAGAACAGCAGAATAACGTTTGTACAAAAAGAAAAACCCTAGCCTTCCTCTTAACTCCTTCCATCCCCTTGCCCCTCCATGTAGAGCAGTGAATGCCTGGTATTGGTGAAGAAGGTATAAAGAATGATAACAAAATGTTGGTTTTATTATTTTAGCTAAATTTTGGGTTGTTTGTTGTTTTTTTTTTTTTTAGCAGATACTCCAGTATACTAAAGAGGATTTTTTTGTCTTGAAAACCAGTGTGTTTCATCGATTTGTATGCCTGTCAAGCCTTTTTCTTTTTTTGTTCTTTTTTTTTTTTTTGAAGAAGTAGAATCTTGAAAGAGTTTCTCTGACAAGCACTTACGCAGACTTAAGTTAAATATGCATTGAGATCTCCTGAGGTGAAAAGCAACTGAAGCAGTGCAAGATCTGTTTCCTGACTTTTGTAAACAGCCCAGATGCCCCATGATGAGACCCTGATTACAACATGGTTGTCCCCTGACCTTATTGCAACATTTTTTCAATTTGTAGTGTACAGGATGCTGACTTGCATCCCTCAGCTGTAGACCTTTGACCTGCCAATCTATTGAATCTAGTTTGCCCAATTTGGATGGACTATTATGGTTTTTGTCAAAGTGTTCTCCAAAGTCTTGATGTCTTCAGAGTTTGCCAGGAAATTTGTTTTTAACCTTTGTTTCCAGTGTGCCAGGTTTTTTTGCTTGGCTGTTTTGTTTTGTTTTTTTTCCCCCCAGAAAAATGTTACAATGCATACATACTGTATAATTTAATATAAACAAACATGTATGTACAAATGTGCGTAAATGTCCTGTATGAGCATATATATGACAAAACATTTTTATCTGGAGAGCAAACTTTGCAAGTTATCTTCTCAGTAGTCATGGGGTTAGTAGATGGTATCGTTCTAGAAGTGCTGTAAGCATTTTCTTGGTACCTTGAAATTACTTGAAGTGCAATTGTAGAAAAGTTTTCTATTGAAGTACAGACTGTTCTTCAGGAAGAGAAAATATTATTAATGACCTGGTGATAGGTTAAATTTTTGTGGGACAGTGCTAATAAGGTTTTTAAGTCTCATCTAAAATAAACTCATGTTAAATGTAAATGGTATATGTTCTTCTTACAAGATTTCCTGAGGAAATTAGGAGCATTTGTGTTGTCCGTTCTATTGCTTAGTTATGTCATGCACCTGCTGCTGTTCAATTTGCAGTGCTCTCTGTTTACCATGGCAAAATGAGTACTCTGTGTGTTTCCAAATTTACTGTAATTTAGTCCCTCACATAATGTTCTTTGCTTAAATGTTTAGTAATTAGTAGAAACCAGGTAGAGTGGTTTTGACTGACTCATTTTAGATCAGCTTGAGGATGTTTATTTTTCAAGCTACTGGTTTTTTCTTTTCCAGCTTTATTTTTTTTGTAACTTGTGTATATCCATCATGCGGTGTTTTTCTTCTTTTCCCCACAGTTCGGATATATCCACCTACCCCAAAGTTCTATAAATAAATTTGAATGCTGTGTCAAATTGTTTTCTCCTAAGTAACAGATGCTTGGCCTTCTGTGTATACGTGCCTAGAGCACTGGTGACATCCAGTGGCTGCAGAACACTTAATGACAACATTTTGCAACAGTGCAATAAAGTGCTTAATGGTAATCCCTGAGGAGATAATTGGTCTAAGTCTGCCGACACAGTGGCTGTTTTAGATAGCTAGTTTGGAGCTGACCCAGTTGGTCTTTGGTCAATTGGTTTCTCAGCTCTTTCTTTTTAAGAAACTGTCTGATGGGTGTCACAGTTCACATGTAATTTTAAATGTATTCTGCTATAGTTTTAAAGCGAGTTTAACAGTGGGTTTTTATTTTCCTTTCCTTCAGGCCTTGCAGTTATGCACTCCCAAAGCACGAATCAGTTGGATGTGGGGAACAATCCCCGTGTGGGTACCAAACGCTACATGGCTCCAGAAGTCTTGGATGAAACTATCCAGGCAGACTGCTTTGACTCATATAAAAGGGTTGATATCTGGGCTTTTGGGCTAGTTCTTTGGGAAGTAGCTAGACGCATGGTTAGCAATGGTAAGTATTTGGGACTCCTTTACTTGTTTTTAGAAGGAGTTAAGTAAATGGTAATTCACAACAAAGCATCAGCTACCAAAATGCACAGGATGCACAGTAAAATACTGGACCTCTGAAGTATGGTAATTCCTGATGCCTTGCCGCCTCTGTTGAAGTTGTTGGTATGAGAGAAGAAAGACCTGTCTTCTGTGATGTTCTAAATCATGATGAGAAATAATTTATACCAAATAGTTACATTGAAAATTTTAGATCATAAAATCTCTATAAACTTGTTCCATGTGTTGGGACCAGCAGGGTTTACCAGAGATAGGTGCTTGCACATAGGCACTGTGTAGAGTGTTGTCTGTTTGAACATTGCAGCTGACCTATGTGATGACAAAACTTCACATGTAAGCTTTTGATAAGTTTGTTTTCATTGCCAGTCTTGAATTTTGAGTAGTTCATCTGTAATCTGTCAAGCCACACTGTTTTGGAGGCTGGTAATCCTTTGTGGAATGTTAGATGTCTTGTTCCCTTTGTTTATGAATACATATTTGTACTTATGTGTGCATGTGTATACTCTGTGCAACATATCTAAAAATACAGTCTTACCTAGTTACTTCTTGAAATGAAAATTCTATGAAACAGTAGCTGTAATCTAAATATTCCTGGGCTGAAGTTTCTGTATGTATTGCTGCAGTATCTGCAGTTCACAGAAAATTTACCTGAGCTACTTTTAAACTAGCAAGCTTACCTTGCATGCTGGCAGCTTTGCCAGGATGGTATGAAACTCAGTATGCAGACCTGGCAGAGGTGATAGGTAAATGCTTCAGTAATTTTGTTCAGGCTGAGCTCAGTGCCACAATGGAAGAAGTAATACAGAGATGTAATAACATTTGTTGTGCCGCCAGAGTCTTAAATTTAACATGATGGTGATACTAATTCCACAATACTTCTTTCCAGTTGCTCTGTATTTCTGGCTGTTTCCATAGGTAATTACACTTCCTTGCACTGGTTTGAAATGGAGCAAACATTTTCTCTCAAATCTGAGTGTTTAGCTTTGTGGAAATCATTATTACATCAGGTGGTTGCTCAGATAACCCTGTTTGATTTGTAGTAAGACTTTGGCACCAGGACTGAGCATGCTGAGGTCAAGGCAGTAGTGTGCTAGGGCGTGCCTTCGGTGGGCTAGAGGCACTTGGTAGTGTATATGTTGCTATTCCATACTGATGGACACTCTTCATATCTCATTTACTGGGTCGGGATGCAAAGTCTGTTCCAGAAAGTCAGCCTGATTTAATACTTCAGTTTTGTGGAGACTGTGAAGTGTAATCTGGCTAATAAGTCTGATATTAAAAAATAGATAAAAATATTTCTAAAGTTTTAAAAATGTTTATTTTAAGATTTTTAATTTTTAATATTTTAATATTTTCTTTACACTTAATGGTCCTCAAGGTGACTTGGTGACTCTCAGTATTTTTCTATTGTGGCTTAGTATAAGGAGGAAAATGTGATAGGAAATTCCTTTACCACAACCAAGAGTATTTGTCTGTTGTCTTTGTGCTGTAGCAGGAGCCAATCAGCATTTCTCTCTGAACATGGAAATGCAGTTTAAGGCCCCAAATCAGTATTTTACTCTCTTTAATAGACCAGTACTTGTTCCTTGCAGAGTGGATGGTTGCTGCTTTTCAGATGTGCTCCCTTCCTAGCGTGCAGTGCCCTGCATCATCACTGTCTGGTGCCAGGCACTTACGGTTCTGTTCCTTGTGAATCTTCACTATTGTTCCCAGTATTAGGATATTAATAGTGATGCTAGAAGCTGAAAGATGGTTACTGCTCAAAGCCAGCACTGGTGTGTGATCATCATTATGTGTGCAAGGATGTGTCTGTTGCTTGGTTGCTTGTGTAGATTTTGCTTTGCTCCAGCAGTTACATTTGTGCATGCATAGGATGACTTGATGCTAAAGGAATGAGAAATAAAGGTGAAGAAAATATGGATGTATGTGCAAGTTCTAGTTTATTTGAGTGGCAAAAAGGCAGCAACCACAAGAGATGCAATATATTATAAATGACAGAAGTCATCTTAAAGCTGACCAGAAAGCAGCATGCTAGAAGTTGTGCTGAAGGGACTAGGGCATCCCTTGAAGCAAGTGGCTGGCTTTCCAGGGCGTGAGCAAGAGAAGCGTGTCACAGTTCAGTGCTGGCTTTGTGAGGAGGGGCGGTGTGGGCTAGAGGTCACAGTGGCTTGCTGATGCTGCTGGCAGGCTGCTGGTGGAGCCAGCAGTGGTCCCTTGGGGCCTGTGACGTTTGGCTGTGGTAGAACAGAGAATGGTAGAACTAGATTGGCCCTATTGGAGTAAAGGTTAGACCCACCTCATTTCTTTCTTTTTACTGTCCACCTTTATCTGTAACAGCCAGTTATGTACCCTATACTTTGGAAAGACCCCATGAAAACAGTAATTTAGAGCCAGACTTTTCTAGTGATAAAGTTCATCTGTAACATCCTAATGACCCTGGAAGTATTTTCAGAGTTATATGATGTATCTCTGAAGTTCTGCATTTGGCTTGTATAAGGCCACTACTGTATTTGAAATGGAGGCATGGACAGTGTGGGTATGCAGGAGGGTTTTTTTTTGTGCTCTTGAGTTCTCACACAAAATGTTATTCTGTGTTCTGGGAGGAAGCAGGAGGACTGTAAAGCCAAAAGTTCAGCCCTGTAGGTGATGTTTGGTATACAAAACTGATGAAACAGCAGCCATGCACACATGTGCTAGTAGGAAAAAGGCTTTTCATCCTGCCAGTTTGATGTAGGCTGGCTGGCAAGTTGTGAGAGTGCACATAACATATTTGGTTTTCAATGCAGAATCCTAGAACATGCATTCAGACACTGGGTGCTACAGGCTATCAGGCGTTTGGCTTTGTGATGGCATGTGGTGCCAGTTACCCTAGGTATTTTACTATTTGTAACAAGAAAGAAACTATTTGAAGCACCAGCGTGAGGGTCTGTAGATGCTGACATGCTTATTGGACACTTTCAGGAATCATAAAACTATGCAAAGTATGTGGTAAGCCTATTAAAAACTACAGTGCAGACCTTAATTTTCTTTTGCATTTGCTAGTAGAAATCACAGTTTTATGGTAGTCAGTAAACCCCTGTGCATTATAAAAGATGTGCTTTTGGGAAGTGAATTTGTTCCTCATGATTTCAGGTCAAGCGTCTGTAAAATGGTTGTAGTTCTTTGTGGGGCTGTAATAGGATACTATTAATTAACATTTTAGGTAGAAAAAGCTGTTCCTATTCCAGTGCTATTTTGTTGTTTAATGGCTGTTTGGCGCAGTGGTGTTAACTTTTCACAGATTTTTCTGCTTTTTAGACAGCTAGGTCATGCATGCAGAAATGCTGTTTCACTGACAGTCATTAAATAATGCCTCTTGTTTGTGTCTCACCAGGTATTGTGGAAGACTACAAACCACCATTTTATGACTTGGTTCCAAATGATCCCAGTTTTGAAGACATGAGAAAAGTGGTCTGTGTAGATCAGCAAAGGCCGAACATTCCCAACAGATGGTTCTCAGACCCTGTAAGTGGGTGTGTGCCTGTGGGTGGTTTGCAAAGATACAATTTGACCTTTCTTCTTTTGAAATAAAGTCATGAAAGTTATTTTCAGTCACTTGAAATTAAAATGGTCTCAGTGCTACTTGTTGAGAGCATTACCTGTACAGATTGCAGGAGCATGCTGGCATGGACCTTTGTGTTGGAGCAGTAAGAGCAAATTTAGTTGGAGTAGTGAGCAAGCCCCTAACTGTGGAGTCTGAGCTATTCACAGATGACTCTTTTAGAAGCATGATTTAACAATAACTATTATAAAGCGACTCTTTGTATGTTGTTGTTTTCTTTCAAAGAGTTTCGTTGCTTGTTTGTTGTTTTTTTTAAGGGAAAGGTAACCCATGTAGAACTTCCTGTGGTTTTTATAAGCATGCAGATTTAGAACAGAATTTTGGTCTCTCTCCTGCCTACAGGATAAGGGTTTGTTGTCCTTTTTGAAAGGCTGCTGCTGAAGTTTTTCCTCAGCACTGGACTCTCCAGGTTGACCAGTTCTTGTTCCTTATTACTGAAGCTGTGGAGGTCAGGTTGAATCTGGGTGGTTGGCTAGGGTCAACTAAGAGGAGATGTCCGAGCTATATGGTTTTGGTTGTAGAGCTGGCTGCACCAGCCAGCTGTGAATCACAGCCATTTAAAGTTGTACAAGGCATGATGAAATCTGTACCTTGTCTGGCTTCCTTCATCAATCTTACTGGAGTCAGTTTCATTGAGAAGAGATTCTGTGGAGTGTTTTCTCAATTAGGAAAAAAACAAAACTCCGTTGTTTAAAATTATGCTAGCTTGTTTCTCCAGCCAGGCCATGGTTTAGTTATTCTCTGGGTTTAACCAAGTTATCAAACTTGGGGCTTTTCAACACCTATAAGCTCTCTGTACATCCTGAAAATTGAGTATTAATAAGGCAATAAAACTCAATCTAGTGGTTTCTTGGCTTGTTATTTGTGGACTTAATATGTGTTTTGTTGTGTTTTTTTTTATTCTTCCCAGACATTAACATCTCTTGCCAAGTTGATGAAAGAATGCTGGTATCAAAATCCATCAGCGAGACTAACAGCCCTGCGAATCAAAAAGACTTTGACCAAAATTGATAATTCCTTAGATAAACTGAAAGCTGACTGTTGACCTTCTTCTCGTGGTGCTCTCCTGATAGGAAGGCGTTTGTCTGGTTCAGAAGTAGTCTGGACAGACAGTTTATACGATTGGTCCCCATGTGGCTACTTATAGAGGCAGAAGTTCTTACCAAGCCATCTGTGTGGGAGATATCGGAACCATATGGACTTTGCTCAGTGACTGCAATGGGCATTTCACAAATGGTCAAGCTATAAGGACTCACGCTGGATGTACTGTTGCAAAGGTAGTGGCCTGAAGGAAGACAGAGAAATCCTAAGACAAGATCAGGGCATTAAATAATGGCTTTGAACAGCTCTTTTCTTTTTTTTCTTTTTTTTTTCCTTTTTTTCTTTTTTTTTATTTTTTTACTTTTAATTCTCCTAATCACTCCCAGGGCAAACACATGGAAGTGGTAAATTTTAATCAGCAATATTGCCTGTGCTTCTCTTCTTTATTGCACTAGGAATTCTTTGCATTCCTTACTTGCACTGTCACTGTTAATTTTAATGACATGACTTGCCAAAAATATGATTGGCTGTACACTACATTGATCGATGCCTGAATAATAGGAAATGAATTTGGTAAACTGAAAATGTAACTGTCAGATTTTAGCTGCATTTTACATGTGTACTGATGTTTACAATAATGCTGAACATTAGGAATTTCTCGTTTATACAAAACTTGCAAATTATTTATTACTAGTGCACTTGCCAGTTTTTTTAAACTGTAAAATAAGTGCATAAAGTTAAAGCTTATTTTTATGTGGCCTCTTTCATGATTTCTTACACAGATGTTTTTGTAACACAGTATAACCTGAAACATAAATTGTTTTCTGTATTATCATATTACAACTTGATAGTCACATTTTAAGTGCTTCACATTTGTAGGTGTGTGGTCTGTAACATATTTTCAGTTCAAATACGGAACATATATATAGCCATTACCCACATGATGTTGTGTCTAGTATCTTACTGATCTAGAAAAGGAAAGCTATGGAGGAATTAACTAGAATTTTAGGTCATGGATGCTGTGGGGAAAATGCATTTTATTTCTTCTAAGCTATATAATATGCATTTAAACTCTGCCAGAAAAATAACTATTTTGTTTTAACCTACTTTTTCTATTTAGTAGTTATTTGTATAAATTAAATAGAATGTTTTCAAGTCAAACAAAAGTGTTTTAGTTCTCTTACTGCTTGTCAGTAACAAGGGTGTACTAATGCAGCAGTGGGTATTGCCAGTCATGTGCTTGCAGGTGAATAGAGCCTGGTCGAAGTCAATATCAGGTGGAACACTGAGGGACTGAAGCTGTTAACAATTGTTTGTCTAGGTGTGTTTTTCCTGTCCTGAACTGGATCCCAAAATAGTACAGCAGGGAGCTGGTGTACTCTCCTTAGATGTGACATCACCCATGTTCATACAAACCTCCCAGAGCATGCCTTGCAGGAGGTGGAATGCCATCTCCTAGCCTTATGGGGAAGAGCTGAGCTTTGTGCAGAGAGAACTGTTTTCTCTGCCCATACCTCTTGGTAACTCTTTATTTGTTACGCCAAGTGGAAGAGTAACTAGGAAGTGACGGTGCCCTTTCATCTTTCATAATGAACTTTTTTCATGGGCTTGATATCTTCCAAGTAATCTAAGGACCTGAATAGTAATCAGATTCAGAGACACTTTCTCTCTGGGTTAAATTTGTCTGAGGTTCCCTTCTGTGCTGTAAGTCCACCAGGTTGTGCTCTCCTGTTTCTCTACAACTCTTCCTTCTCAGCCCAGGCTTCCTTGCCTGACTCCAGCCACGTGGCATACCTTTCTTTTTTCTGCATTTCCAGTGTAGAAGTGGCAGCCAGGTTTGCAGGGCATGTTCTGCATGAGGTTAAGAGGCAGCATGGTCCAGTCACTCTTCAAAGCAGACTGAATTGATACCAGTTGCTGGGTCTCTTAATTATACTTGAAGAGAATCTGAGCAGATGCAGTGCTGAAAAAAATTAAGAAAAGCAGGATCTGATTAGTTGTTAGGTTTTAGTAGGAAGTTAAAGGCTCTGTTGCCTGAATGCATTCTAGTTTGCTTTAAACTGATTTGTGTATGTGATGCACTGAGCTAACTGTTCAGTAGCTGCAGCCCAGGGGGGACAGTGTTTCAGCACCAACATGGGCAAATCAGTCTGTTGGAGTAAAGATGCTGTATCAGTGGAAGTAACTAGAGACAGTTACAGCTGCAAATAAGTATCTGTATTGGTGACAATTTTTTGATATAGAGCATTGCTGAAGTTCTAGGTGCCTGGAGTGCATGTGTATGTATTTCTTTCACCGTATTTGCATGATGGAACCGGCATCAGTTTTTAACACAAAAGGGGAGTGAGGCAACCTCCTGCAGGGGTTCCAGGCTGCTGCAGCGCTCAGAAGTGAGGACAGCTGGGTGGGGGTGTCTGGACAGTGGAGGGAGAGACAGGAGGTGGCTCCAGCAACAGATGGGGACAGAGCCAGAGGTGGAAGTTCAGTGTGCAGTGATTTTTTGAAGTGGATGGTGAGGTTTTTTTTTTTACTTGGAGTTTTCACATCTGCAGCATTTTCCAGCACCAGCTAGTGAAGGAGAGACACAATTTGTCATGCTGATGATTAACAATTCTGGCCATGTTGGCTGAATTTGCAGTGCCTTTCTCTAATGCTAAGGTACTGAGTCACAGCGTCTGACTAGATATTAGGGAAGATGGTCATGTTAAATACTTGATCTATCTCCTCTCTCTGTTGTAGCATCTTCTGAAAAGTAGAAGGACATGACTTCAGGTTGGAAACAGCTCTGTATACTCCATAGCAGTTTACTGTGCCCCATCTTTAAATCCCTCCAGCGATGGTGACCACCGCTTCCTCTGGGCAGCCTGCTCCAGTGCTTGCCAACTCTTTCAATGAAGCCATTTTTCCTCAGATCAAATCTAAACCTCCCCTGGTGCAACCTGAAGCTGTTTGCTCTCGTCCTGACACTTGTCACTTGGGAGAAGAGACTGACGCCCACCTCTGTATGGCTTCCTTTCAGGTAGTTGTAGAGAGGCTTAACAAACCCAGTTCCTTCAGCTGCTCCTCGTGATACTTGTGCTCGAGACCCTTCATCACCTTTGTTGCCCTTCACTGGGCATGCAAGGGAAAACCAACTGCAGGATGAAAACACAAACCATAAGAGCACTCCATAATATCCCATTTATCCCCTGTTAGGTGAAGAAGATTAAAGAAGCAAGTCATTGGCAGGGTAAAAAATTATGTCTATCAATGTGCTAGACAAGGTCACTTTCATTGGTGCAGCTGCTGCTTCCTTTTGTGTATCAAAACACGCAGAGATTATTTTAAAAACAATTCATATTCATACCCTGCTAATGGAGTATTTTTGGTCCCAGCTTTGACTGAACTAGTTGAACTGTTAACTAAATTATTTTTAATTAGGTGACTGGCAAACTTGAGTCAAGCAAATTGAGTGGAAATAATTAAGTATTTTCTTATCCCTGGAGTTAGGGGTAAGTCATTCAGCACTTTGCTTTTCTAGTGTATATTTGCTACTGAGGATAGTGGAGGTCTGTACTTTCAGAAATCAGAAATGACAGTGTTGTAAATAGTCCTTTGGGAACTAGATGGTGGTATGCCTGGGAGCAGAGAAGGAAAAGATGAGTGACAGCCACTGAAGGATTGATTATGTGTGGTCTGTGTTATTTAACCTCATTTTTGGGTGTCTGGACAGTCAGGAGAAATTGGTTGCTGCTTTTCCCTTCAAGGCCTGAAGGTTTTGGCAGTGTGTATGTGGGAGTCTCCAAGTGATGTATATGAAGGTAATACCTCCATCCCTCATGCTGTTTTTCTAGCATGTTTATTAATCAATGTTCCTCTAATACTCCCATAAAATCTAATCTTCTAAAGAGATTTGGAATGCTTATATATAATATGCTGCATTAACGCTGCATTTATTACTATGGAGATGGCACAAGCAGTTCCGTAGTTGAATTATTCATGTATGGCAGATTTGCACTGTACACAGCCAGTATGGATCTGGGGTGCTGTCATTCGAACAGTGCCTGGCCATATATCAGAGCCCTATGAAGAGGAGGCATGAGTAACAGTGCTTGATTCAGCTTTCCTGTTGATAGTTATGACTGCCTGCCAGTTACAGGAGGAAGGCTGGGAAAAAAAACAGAGGTACTATAGATGGAGGGGGGACAGGGAGCTTGTTGCTTTTTGTCTAGATTTCTTTTCTCATGTGCAGGAGGCTTGTTGCTTACTGGTTAGGAATACATTGCACTTTGAGAAGTGTCTGGGGACGGCTGGCTAAAGCAGCCCAAGGCCAGCAACTCAAGTTAGTGTTGTGGTAGTGAAGTCACTGGAGGCTTCCTCCCACTTGTCTGTAACTTTCGTCGTGAGCCTCTGTGCTGGAATTGTCCATGAAAAGTCTATATTGGGCTTCTAGAATTTTGTACTTACCTGGATTAAACTGTTTTGGTAAGGAGGGACAAGGAGGAATTCTCTTCCTGCAGGGTGAAATGGCAGCTGTGCAGAAAGATCAACCTTGGCTTAGTGGTTGGCAGAGGAGAAGGGAAACAACAATTTACAGGTGCTGTGCCATTTATAGAGAAGTTAATTCTTTCTCAAACACTGAATACAATTTTTTTTTTTTTTTTATGTTTTAAAGCTAAAATGCATGTGGGAAAAGCAAGCATTTTGTCAGCTGTAGAGCTAATGGTCTGCCGTGACCGGTATGCTCACCTGGGAATAGCACGTTTGCTTTATTCCCAGTTGGAAGGAAGAAAAACCCACCATGCTTCTAGTGCCTGAACCAAAAAACTGTGCCGTGACACAGGCCAAAGCACGCCAGGGAAAGCAACGCACAGCCGTACATGGTTTACATCAGACTCTGCTCATCATGGTGGAAGAGGGGCTGCAAGAGGGACCTCCGGAAAACGTGGAGGAGAAGCTGGAATGCTCTCTGTGGAAAGTGCACTTTCTCTCTGGTTACGGACTCATCTTGTTAAAAGAGCTGTGTGAAGTCTGCAAAAGGGATCTTCCAATGGGTGTGGGACATCTGCTCACTGGGTCAACATGTTCTGTGCCAGCCAGACTGCTCAGAGGTCGAGGAGCATGGTCCTTGTGGGGATGGTGGCCTGCAAAATGATACACCAAAGTGCCTGCCAGCTATCAGCCTTGGGAGACTCAATTATTTGGGATATTTTTGTTGGTGGTGCTTTTTTGTTGGTTTGGTTTTGGGTTTTGTGTTTTTTTTTTTTTTTGTTTTTTCTTTAAAGGTGTCCCCCTTTCCGCCACGGTCGTTGCCATGTCTTGCTGTGTGTGCAGTGGCGTTTGTCCCAGCAACATGTCTAAATCGGGGGGTGTAGCCCTGGCACAGCAGCATGTCCTGTTTTCCAGTCTGGTGTAGCTCCTCAAGGACTTTCTTTATACTTACAGATCTAATAAATATCTCTGCTTGTTCTTGACCAAGATGTTCCTACTGTATATCTCTGGCTGGGTCAGCAGCGCTGTGCAGCCTCCATGGGCTGTGCTTCCCCCTGACCTGGTGCAAGGCAGGGGGTTACACCAGATGGGGAGGCTCATGGAGGCCATGGCTCTGCTGGAGGGTGTGTGGGGTGTGGGATGTGCAGTGTCCCTGGGAGCAGAAGAGGGAAGCATCCCACAGGAGCTGCTCTGTCCTCCTCCCTGCTGTGTGGTCAGCTGCTTGTGGGGCTTGAGCCCATGCTTCAAAGGGCCTCGTCCTGGCATGTTTCATCTTTGTGAACTGCATGAGTGATGAAGCAGCTGATTCACAGATGATGTAAGGTGTGTTTTAACAATTACCTAACACTGATAATTACAAATTCTGTCTTTACAACTGCAGTCACTACCAAAATGCCAGCCATATTTTCCAGTGCAATAACTGAGGGTTTCACTGTCACAGAAGCCCTGAGCTCCTAAAATCACTAACATTCAGATACTGGCATCAATTTTAGCAGCTCCTTGTGTTTGTGATAATGCTAAAATCTGTTCCTTTCAACAAGTGAAAAGCTGATGCTGTGTTCAGCCTCAACACCTGTATATTTTTAATCTTTCTGTAAGCATCTTGGAAAGCTCTAATTTTTTTTTTTCTTTTTTTGGTGGCTTTCACAGCATCTAGAAGGAGCCAGTACACTCTGACCTGGTTAACTGGGGTTAAAACAGCCCTTTAGGAAAGGGAGGAAGAGGCAATCGGTTACAGTACTGCACAGCTTTCAGGTCAGTCCAGAGTTAATGCTACACTTTATGGCTGCTTCTTTTTACTGATTTAAAGATACCGGAGTGCCTTAGGTGGAGTAAAGCTGCAATATTTATACCTTGCCAGTGTACAGGTGTAAAATCAGGATCTAACCCTGCGAGTTGCATCAGGATTTTACCTGGTCTCCATGTTTTCCTAATCACTTAAACTGCAGGAAGAGCTTTTAAACATGTGATAGCTCACTGAGGTGTGTGACCTCCAACAGCCAACTTGCTGCCCAGGCTCAGTCTGCTGTGTGCCTTTAGTCCAGGTGTTTGTGAACACAATACAACAGAGAGCCTCAGTGCCACTGTTGGAAGTGGGGTGTCTGTTCCAGGTTTTCCTGATGCATACATGCAGGTGTCTGCAGCACGGTGGATTTTGCTGAGCACTCTGCTTGTTTGTACCCACAGCAGCCAGCCTGTGTGGTCTCGCCAGGGGTTGTGAGCTGGGCTGGTGTCCTGGAGCTCTGAGCTCTGGCCTTGAATAGCCCATGAGGTGTGGAGTTGGGCCTGGGCAGGGTCTGGGAATGCTGCAGGCTCAGCCGTGTGCTGCCCAGACCTCAGGACATGCTGCTGCTCAAGTGTGCATGCCTGATCCCCACTCCAGCAGCTTCACTGGGATATGTGTGTGACAGCTGAGGATTGCAGCAGTTCTCTGCATTGAGCGTTGGGCATGCACCCTGTGGAAGAGCTGTGTGAACGTCTGATGCCCTGCTCCCCTCCACAGCGCTTCCCAGCCCAATCCACCCCTCTCTTTGCTGGCCATGGGCACACTGGAGCCCATCTGCCACCATTTCTGTCTCCTCCTTCCCAAACTCCCTCTCTGTATCTGTTCCTCCCTCACCTGTCTGGGAAGTTGTCCTTGTGCCTGGACAACTTCTTGAGGGCAGTACCTTCGGCTGTGCCCACCTTCCTCTGATCTCTGTGAACTGCTCTTTTCCTTCCAGGCTGAGAGAAAAGCTGTGCATCAGCTATGGAAAGCTGTGCCAGAAGGAAATAGCACTTAGCTAGGCCAGGGATGTTTTTTGTTAAAGACATTAAAATCTGCAGTCAACTTGTTCCTTTGATCTTAAAAGATCGTGACATGCTTGACTGAAGCTCAGTGACTGTTGCTAACTAGATTCAAGGGCTTTGCATTGCTCCAATCTCTTCCCCAGAGGTCTCTGCAGCAGTCTTCTCCATTTTCACCACCCAAGAACCCCCTACCCCAAATACCATTTCAGATTCACAGCATAGATCTCTTTTTATTCTTGGAATGTTCTCCTGGAAAACCTGAGGCTTTAAAACCTACCCAAGGTGACATGGGAGATAGAGAACTGTTGGATGCTAGCCAGGAACTTTCAAAAATAGCTAGCACATTACATTGCCTACCTCCAATAAAGAGAATGTATCTTTAATATAAGTGCTGCAAAGGAGAAAATTGAGAGGAATAAGGATAGTGGAACTGCTAATAGAGAAAAATTTACCATAACTCAGTGTACAAAGAAGCTGAAAAATGAGGGGAAAAAGAATGCCTACCCATTTATTCTTGTTTGACTATTTACTGTACATGGATCTTGGAGTCTTTAATGCATGGAGTTAAAAATAGCATATTTGTCATAATCTTGAGCTGTTTAAGAAATCCCCCCATATCCTGGGCTGCACCAAAAGGAGCGTGACCAGTAGGTTGAAGGAGGTGATCCTGCCCCTCTACTCTGCTCTTGTGAGACCTCACTTGGAGTATTGTGTGCAGTTCTGGTGTCTTCAACATAAAAAGGACATGGAACTGTTGGAACAAGTCCAGAGGAGGGCCACGAGGATGATCAGGGGACTGGAGCACCTCCCGTATAAAGATACGCTGCGAAAGTTGGGGCTGTTCAGCCTGGAGAAGAGAAGGCTGCATGGAGACCTCATAGCAGCCTTCCAGAACCTTAAGGGGGGCTATAAGGATGCTGTAGATGGACTGTTCGTTAGGGACTGTAGTGATAGGACAAGGGGTAATGGGTTAAAACTTAAACAGGGGAAGTTTAGATTGGATATAAGAAGGAAATTCTTTCCTGTTAGGGTGGTGAGGCACTGGAATGGGTTGCCCAGGGAGGTTGTGAATGCTCCATCCCTGGCAGTGTTCAAGGCCAGGTTGGACACACCCTTGGGTGACATGGTTCATTGTGAGGTGTCCCTGCCCATGGCAGGGGGGTTAGAACTAGATGATCTTAAGGTCCTTTCCAACCCTAACTATTCTATGATTCTAAATGTGGAACACAAGCAACAGTGTTTTCTGTCAGGAGTTCATCCATTGAACATCAACACTCCTGCCCTTTGTTCCCTTGGCCATTTCCAGCAATTACCAGTGGATGGTTCAGTTTTCCTTTTGCTTTTCCTCATGAATTTTCTGTTATCTCGCTCCCCTGCAAGGTGGTTCCTAAACTGGGCCTCCAGGAGCTCCCCGCAGAAAATACTCTGCATAGCCTTGATGCCCAGTACATGCTGATTGACCCAAAGCCAGGATTAGTGGTAGGAAGCCATAGGAAGACTAAAATGGTGTGCTCTTGTCCATACTGGAATAGAAAGAACTGGTGAGGACATGTCTCGGGAACATCCCCAGCACTGTTGGCCTCTGAGCAGTGGTCTCTGCTTGTGCTTTTCACAGGTAATAATGAAAGGTCAAGTCCTTGCTAGGTTAGGTTGGGCATGAAGCAGAGCTCAAGCTAAAAAGCTGGTCTGGGCTTAGCTCATGTTTCATACTTAATGCTGCAGAAGGCAACAAAGAGGAGCAAGGACCAAGTGCCTGAGTCAGCAGCTTCATCATGCTCTGGTTCTGCTGCCATTTTCCTTGCAGCAACTGCTGTCTCAGCACCAGCAGTATCATGAGGAGGAGGTGTCACTGTCAATGCTGCCATGGTGAGAGGAGGAACACTGCCAGTCATCCCAAGAAACAGAGGTAAGGACAGAGTGGGCAGTCCCATTAGAGAATTAACTGTTTAATTGCACTAATTGCACTCTTTAAACACTTCTTATGTCTGAATGATGCTAAAAGGTTCTGAGACGTTCTGATGTTACCCTCCTCATCAAGAAGACACCTGCTCAGGTTAATGTGGACTTTTAATATAGGTTTATGGGCAGCTACTGTTTAATAGATCTTTAAGGTCCCTTCCAACCCAACCCATTCTACAAAGACTCTGGAGCTGTAGAAAGCAGCATTTGGGGAGAGGGGGTAGGGGTGGTGACTAGGGAACTGTAAAATGGTTCTTGGAACAGTTTGGGATTTTTTTGACTCTTTTTCTAGTTGCTATGGTCAGCAATATAATGTATTTACAGGAATGTATCATTCTGATGGTAGTTTCTTTAAGGTTTCATAGCATTTTTGGATGAACAGAGTGGGAAACAGACTGCAAGACTCTTTTGTTGCAAGACAAAAGAGACAGCTCTGTAGTTAGAACACTGACCTGGGATGTAGATGACCAAAGTAAGTGGTAACTACTGATGTGCTGGCCGTTCGGGGATGTCCACAGACTTCATTTTGTTTTGCTTGCACAAAATTTCAATAGGTCTCAGTGCTGTCCTGATGTGGAGCAAAACAAATTACAAAATAAGATTCTTGTTTTCTAGCCAGCCCTAGAAGTACTTCCAGTTGGCAATTGTTTTTATGGTGTTATCCATTTCCAGAGACTCTTAAATCCCCAGGATATGCTATTTCTGTTCTATGAACCATGCCATGCAAACATCTAACTTGGGAGCACATTTGCCTCAATACCTCGAAATGTGGTTTTTTTGTCTCCCTCCCTTGTTTTGTTGTTCTTTTCTTTTTTTGCTGGCATTTGGTGTGTCAAAGGCCTGATGAAGTTTAGAGACAAAGGGTGAAGGATCAGTGATTGTGGATAGCTGGGGACCCAAATCTGTAATCACTGAATGCTCTAGAAACACAGTAAGATGTGAGTAACCTGCTTTTCTCCCCCTCTCTGCCCTTAATATGCTTCTTAGTAGATCCTGAAGTGCTGTTTCAACCAGTGACCCATTAATACAGACTTCTGCCTCAGCTCAGATATTTTCAGCCGGAGCAGCTCCCAACAACTCCATGACTGAACCCAAACTGTTGGCATTGGGAGGAGGAGGGAGGACACTCACTGCTCATCATTCTCACTTCCACAGTAATAAAGACATACATAGAGAATTCTACTTCTAAATCACAGAGCTTCCATTTGAATTCAGGTGTTGTACTTTCTACTCC